ACTCCTGTTTCCCTCTCTCCATGAAACCCCCAGCACAGGACCGGCTTTGGGCTTGCCGGCCACCTGGGCCCCCGTGGGGAGAGCCCCGAGGGAGCGGGGCAAGGGGATGCGCTGCTGGCACCCCGCGACCGAGGGGCGTTTCACACACAGCAACCTCGCACGGGTGTGACCGGTGGCCGGGGCTGCTCTTTGGGGCATAAAGTGCAATCTCTGTTGTGCTGCAGTCCCACAGTTCGCTGCACATCATCTACATCTCTGAGGCTGCATCACTCCCTTACCTAAACACAAAGCCCAGGTATGTCGTTTTATGCAACGTGCATTTTATACCTGCCCCTAAGCCATTGTTTAGGCCACAAAATTGTTTCAGGGAAGCCATTGGTAACACCACATGAATTTAGGGCTAGGGTTCGTTTGTTTGTTTGATGGAAAGATCTTTATCAGCCAGTAATTCATCCAGTTGCCAAGAAGCTGTTCCAGATCTAAAGGGATATAAGTAATGTGTACGCATTATTCGGTGACGAACATGTCAGCTTTTGAGCGATCAGCCTTTTGAACCTGTCGGTAGAGGTGCAGGATAGGGCCGGGAGCCTTAAGCACAGGGGTAGGAAAAGGTTTCCAAAGTCTAAGGCAAAACAAAAGCAACCAGAAGTTTCATAGCATAAAGACAGGGCTGAGTGTAAAGAAGCACAGTAACTGATTAAAGACGTCTAATCTGCTCCAGGATCTCCTTTTGATTAGATCAAACCTCAAATCAGCAAGACTTCTGGGGGGAAGAAACCTGGCCTCACTCTTTTTTGTCCCATTTTGCCCGAACACCACAAGATTTCTTTACTGTTGTGCTCCACTTCTGTATCACAGACAATAAAAGCTTTGTGAAAAGAAAGAATAAGATCACATTTTCCATAGCCAGAACCAACATACATTTAAACTGACACTAACAACTACTTCTGATGGATTAACGCTGAATCCCAAAAAGACGTTTATGTCAAAATTGCAGAAGCCTTGCAACCTATGAAACTGGCCATTTAAAAAAAAAAAAAAAGCAGCAACTAATATAATGTCATGGCTTTTGATGGAGATTGCAGTTAGAAATCAGAATTCTTTAGAACAAAATCCATTCAAGTCCTGTTGGAAGTATATCCGTTTGTTTTTCTGTTGGTATTTTTTTTCCTGAGGTTTCAAGCCATAAAGTTTTGTACCCCACTCTATGCTATAGGAATCTGTGAAACTTAATTACATTTACTGTTACAAAAAAGGGTTTATGAACTTTTGCCTTTGGGCAAAAATGTTTATTTCATTGCCTTTGTTATTCATTCTTTTCAACTCCAGTGCCTTTGAACTTTTCAGCTGCACAGAGTTATCACCGTTGCACAGGAACCAGGAACTGTACTCCCGAGATGCAAACCACAAGTTGAAGAAAACGAAGGAGGCAAAGATATACAAGTCGTTATTTTGGCCACCCTTTGTGCCATTAAAATCTCATTTTCTGCCTATTAGAATGCCCTCTCCCAGCTTAGGCAGTGGTGATAGTCAGTGATTAGTGTGTAATTGAGTATAATTGTCTTTTCACTTTTCATTTGTGTCATTCTGAGCTTCTCTCTGTTTTTCTAACCACTGAGAGGAGAAAAGGGTAGAAAGGAGATAAAGCTGTTAAAACTCTCACTTTCAGCCCTGAAGAGATTCCTGATTGTAATTATAGATTGCATCCTCTTTGTGACTTCTCAGAATTTAGTGGACATCTCTTTCCAAGCACCTGGGCAAAGCTCTGGCTAATAAACTAAAGTACCGTCTACTCAAGCTTTAACTAATAACGTCAGCTTCGGACAGATGCCGCGTGCAGGAAAATCTAACCAACCCTCTGACACCCAATTATCAAGGCAATTTATTAACATGATTTCCTAAAAAGAGCTCATGCAAATTAGAAAAACAATTATGGTATTCATGCGTTTATATATTGCCAAAGAGCAGTAATACTCCTAATTTATGTATTTATAACTCGATTATGGCTCATCTCAGTGTGTACTGCTCAGCCCTTGGAACTCTCCTCGTACAATTTGCCTGTAATTTTCCTGGACCATTTGGTAAAACTTTGGTGAGGCTATCTTAAAGACATACTTTATTTATAAAAAAACTCCATGATCCTAGCCATGGATCTTCAGGAAAACAGGAGTACATTGCAGACACTTGACAACTGAATGTAAACACGAAGCATGCATGATTACATTATAAATCACTTGAAATTAAATATAAACTATAACTCTTGATTCAGCCAGTAGGAGGGAAAAAAAAAAAAAAGAAGGAAACTAGGAAACTGAAATCATGTGGCTTGTATAAAGAATACATTATGGTTTAAATTTGGCAATTCATTATACTGTGGCCTGAGGGAATAGACTCTTTGGTTCTGGTATACAGCAAATCCTCTGTCTGAAAACACAGGACTGACCTGAGGTGAAAGGCCATTGCCAATGGCAGGGTTCATGGGATTTGAGGGCCCGGACGGAGGCACAAAGCTGTCTGTATAGCTGGAAAATCCATGCCTGGTGCTGGGTAGGCAATAGGCAGAGCTGCTCTCTGGGTTCGAAGGGAGGCTGCTTTGGTGTACGGTGCTCGGAGGGAGAGGCTGAGGTCTATGGACGGTACTGCTTGGATCAGACACAGCTAGACGCAAAAGAAACATGTTGATACATTTTTCTCCTTTTTTTCTGGCATAATAAGTTCATTATGTGAAGCTCAACTTGACAGAACTGCATCAGGACCTGCATGTAAATACTGGCTAAATAAAAAGGTAAGTCTTTAATATTGCTAGATATTTAACTGGCCACTTAAATTACAGCTATTTCTTAAAAGACTGTACAAATTATAACAACAAACACATGCAGTTTTCAGGCAATCCTTAGTGGGTACGTACTGTCCAGAATCTCTACAGCAAAATTAGAAAGAAAAATTATATTTATATCTAAGACACAATATACTTTTTATATATTTACGTGTACATATATAAAAGAAAAGCTTTATTTTCTTAGAAGATGGGTAACAGGTTTCATCCCCTGGTCACAGCACAGAAATTCTGCCACAATTTGTAGGAAACATAGCAATGGATGGGAGAAGCCCTGGGCTTTGCAAAATTCCCTTAAACAGAATGTGGCCTGGCAAAAACATCCATCAACAGCTAGGATCTGAATCTCAAGGAGGGAGCAAGGAGAGCACAGTAACTTGTCTTACAAAAGCTCACCTCTAAGGTTTTAACAGTAAAATCCAGAGTAGCCTACATTTGAAGCTCTGTTCCCCCCTCCCTAAGTCCATCAAGGTTCACAGAATCTCTGGTATGGGTAATACAAATTTTTAACCATACTGAGACTTGCTACTATCTGATGTGAAACAAGATGGTTGGAACAGCTGTTTTTTCCCCACCATCAGATAAATATTCCGAGTACTCAGAGAAGTTTCCAGCGCACCATCATCGAAAGCAGCAAAGGCAGAACGCAACCGCTGCGCCCTTGCCCGCCGTGCCGGGCACTCTCAGCGGAGGCGAGCAGTGCCACAAAGAGCAGGGAAGCACGAACCAAACCCTGCACCTGCTGTTTCTCTAGCCAGCACCCTTCACACGTAACCAGCCCTTTCCTGCAGCAAAACAAACCTGAGTTCTTACAGGCTTAAAAATAAGCAGGGTGGCACGGTCCTCACCGACTCCGACCCTGAATCAGCAAATGCCCCCTTTTCTCTGTTAGAGAAGAAAACGTTTCTGCAGCGGATCAACAGAGGAATCATAGAATCATAGAATGGTTTGGGTTGGAAAGGACCTCAAAGATCACCCAGTTCCAACCCCCCTGCCATGGGCAGGGACACCTTGCACTAGACCAGGTTGCTCAAAGCCACATCCAGCCTGGCCTTGGACACTTCCAGGGATGGGGCATCCACAGCTTCTCTGGGCAACCTGTCCCAGTGCCTCACCACCCTCTCCGGGAAGAATTTCACCCCAACAACGCTATTTAACCAAGTACCTGTCGGCTACTGTACCTTGCGGTATGGAGGTGGGTTGGTAGGAGGGCTCAGAGAGCTGGTACGTCGGCAAAGTTGGCATGGCGCTGGGTGGGAATCCTCCTGGGATCAGATGGTTGAAAGCCATCAGTTGATTGGCTCCTGCCTGTTTCCTCCATCTAGCGCGACGGTTACTAAACCAGACCTACAAATGTTTTAATTAGGGACATTTGAGTTTTGTACATTGAACGTGGGTGCATCAGACAATAACGGCATCATATTTCACACGCATTCGGTATCTGAGAAGAGAGATATGGAAGACACGCTGGGCTGAGAGCTCCTAGATGAGAAAGGAGCCCCTGGCACACGCTTCCATGGTTCAACAGACGGGACACGGGAATCCCGAACCCGTTTCCTCTCAAACACAGCCTCTCCTGAGAAACAAGATGACTAATGCTTTCAAGCTTTAGTGCTTTTAAAAACTATCAGTCACTATCCTTATTGTGCCAGATATAATGAGAAAGGGAAACCATCTCTCCATTTGATCCCAGTGCCAGCCAAAGCTATTTGCTCTGGACTGTACTGTCTTCACATTTCATTTGCTGACAAGTTAGCGGTACTGCTTAATGCACTGTTGGAAGGTGCTTGTACTTAAACGTCAGGATGCTATATTGCCCTAATGATCAACAGAACTTTAAGCTTTTAATTTGAAAAATACAAGCCCTGTGTACACAACACGCCAATCCCTTCCAGCAAGTTTTCATGTATTCACATATGTACAAAACATCCCTTAATAAACTTGACATGAACAGTAGATCAGCGTTTCAGTACTAGATTAGCATTTCAGAACCGCTTTGAAATCTGTTCCCAGGACTGGCTACCAAGCAGATGGGATTGGATTAGTTGGACGTTTTAGCTATAAATCTGCTTTCCTTCACGTCATTCTCAGTTCATGTTTTAAGTTTTCCAAGTCTTGGATGGTTCTTATTGCCTCCAAGAAAAGAAAGGGCAAGACTTCACAAACGCAGACGTAAGAAGAGTTGCAAACACGTAGGTTAATACCGATTTTATAGTGATCACACAGGCCACAAATCAGAAGGGCAACCAGGCTGCAGAGCAACCCCCGATTACAGCGCTCAGGTCCATGAAGTGGACCACTGCCGAAAAGAGGTTGGTTGAGATAAGGGAGGCTGCACACGTTTGTAAACAAGCACACAGTTACTCCTATTTGTACACCCTGAAGCAGTGATCTAATTGACAGCATCCACGGGTGATAAGACCTTAGCTGAGCGTTGGCGTCTTACAAGGTCCCTCAGCACAGCCTGCAAGGCAGCCTGGCCTGAAACTACTGCAGCACGTTAGCTGACGAGCCACACGTAGACGTGTTTGTAAAAGTGAGCTGGGTCTCAGACCTGTCACCCTTCCTGCAAGCAGCCCATGCTGGCTTGCGACTCAGCCATCACAGGCTGGATTTCTAGGTGTAACATCATTTAAAAACCACGAATGGCCTTTACATAACAGCGTAACAACATTTTGGATTACACTGTGAGCTCCTCCTCCACTTGCTATTTCCTAGAGGGAGTGGTGGGATGCACTGGGCCATCTGGTTTCTGATGTGGGCCATCTGTCACCACATAGCTTGATCCGGCTCCATCCTCTTTTCAGAATGAGAGGCTCAGTTCACACAGCTGCCTCCTTCGGCCACAATACCTACTCCTCAATTACACACTCCCACTCCGGTTTAAGATTTAGGACGGAGGAATAGACGGACCCTCTGTTCTACCTCAAGAACGCCTCTCTTGGGTTTTTTTGCTGTACATACTAACCCTCCCTCTGCATCCATATGAACCATTCCTGAAAGAGCTGGCAGGGACAAGGCCACCAGAGTGGAGATGTGAGACCTGTGATGAGCCATAGTTGAGGATGAGTCTAGATTCAGTAATATACAGACAGCCATATCCTTCTCACCTCTCCTTACCCTTTGCTTCTCTCACTGACATTCAAGTCTAAACTTCTTCTTTACTTCTCACAGACTCCTTCCACCTGCTCACGTCTCCCAAAGCCCACCAGGCTCACACTCCTGCGGCAGTGCCCTTTGAAGATGACCAAAGAGAAGGCAAAAGGGGCAAGACATGCTGAAGAGGAAGAGGCTTTGCTAAAGAGCCAAAGAGCACTTAGGAAGGATAAAGGAGGTCAGAGGGGGAGCAGGGAACAGCAAACACATGTTGTAATTAGCCTACTCAGGTCATTAATTATGGCTTCCTCCATGACACTCTCCCTTCTTCAGGTTAAGAGGGTTATCTGATGATCTCCAAATGCTTTGCAAACACTAACTGAGCTATGTTACTTGAGTGGATTTCACTGAGGAAAATGAGGTAACAAGATTTTGTTGCCTCTACAGATAAGCATTTGCCTTCAAACCCTAGATCTTTACTGCAGCGAGTCAGATCCCAAACTTTAATTCAGTAGCGAGCAATCTGCATTAACGCCAACTTCTATGCTTTTATTTACAGATGGGTTTTGGGTCATTTTATAGATTTACATTTTTCCAGAACCGAAGATACGTATTAAACATCCCTAGAAGGGACACACTCAGTGGGATCAGAAAGCCTACAGCAGCCCCACGATGAACATACTTGCCCAGAGCTCCGTTAAATCAAGCGGGACTCAGGGTGGTGGAGGAACCTGCCTGGGGTGCGCAGAAACAAGGCTGTGCACTACCACCTCAGTCCCACATGAATGGGACACACTTAATGGGTGCTACTTGGCTGGCACCCATGTCACATGCTGCTGGCACAGCCGCGGCCCCAGGCTCCTCGGCTTCTCACCGCCTCGCTGCCCACCTCCTGCCGCTTGCCCTGGCTTCTTACTCTCCCCGGGCAGCAGGAAGGGAGATGGCACCTGACTAGCACCGGAGGTAGTCCGGAATTAACCACCAAAACCTCCTGAACAAATGCAAAACTGCAGAGCGAATCTTGGTGCCACTAATACCACACACACTGGTCCCTACAGAACTGCAGAGGCACGTTTAAAAAAATAAACACATACACCACCCCTTTACAGTGAGCACGAGGGGTCTGATCCACATACACACTTGCTTCCCTTTGATTTTAGCAGGTTTTGGACCAGCCTTGGTAAAAGTACTACAAATAATTTCTCTTTAAAATGACCGTGTGGCCTCAACTCTCACCATCATACATTTTTACAAATGAACACACTGAAGCTCTGAATCTGTAATTCGGGATGTTGTAAGACGACAGTTTTTACTGTTGTTGGTATTTACTGTCACGGCCTCACCCTTTTCACGTGGCTTGTGATTTGCAACTGTGTTTAACCCTCATTTTACACCAGGCAGCTGCAGATTTTGGATGTTGTGCATGACAGAACACAAAGAAGAAATGATATACAGTAAGAGAGAAGAAAGAAATACAAATAAAATTAAATGGGAGAGTTAAAAAGTTGAAAATAGGTTTCAGAAAGTCAAGAAAAAATTACTCCAAACTAAATAACTGAAACCTAAATATTTTATTTACATTTTATGTAAAGCTTATTAAAATCAGTCAGATCCCAAGCTTTATTCAGAAGCAGTTATTCTTTCTATGTTAACTGAAATTATTATTTTATTATACATTTTTAACCATAGTATTTCTCTTAGACTGCATTCTTAAGAGGTCAGGAAATTTTATTCTTTTAAATCAGCACGTATCATGAAGAACCCATGTGCACTATTTCCACTAATTAAAGAAATCTTGAAAATTTTTGCCAATATTAAGCCAAGTCTCAAAAATAAATCTAGCCCTCAGAAGCCAACGTGAGAAACATATTGTAAGCACCTGGGGAAACATTTTCTTCTGTCTCTACATTTCCAACAGGATTTAAACACCACAGTTTTATGTTCAGGATATTTCAACCTCCACCAGCATGACAAAATCCCCATCTTACTGGTGGCCTTTTCAAATCAAGCTGGTTCCCCATAGGATGCTTCTGCTCTCCCGTCTGAGGGAAGCGAGCATCACCCGGGTGCAGAGATGCCCCGAGTGTAACGCAGCCCTGGTGAAGATCACAGGGGTCATACTGTGAGAAAGTGTAGTGGGCATCACAGAAAACCAACTCTAAACTACCTACGTCTACTTAACCTAACGTGTCTTGTGTGCTGCCTTCACCAGCAACAGCACAGATCTCGGGGGAGGGCAGATCACCCTACGTAGGGCTTCAAACCACCACACCAACTCCCCCCGTGGAAGGAAAAGCAGTGGATAAGCCAGCTACTGCCTTTTGCAGACTGGAAAGACAGTGTTCCTACACGGAGAGTACTGTGTCTGAAGGAGTATGACCCACTCGTGTCGCTCTAACGCGCAGGAGCTCCAAGCCAGGTCGGCATTGCGCTCGGTGCTGTGCGAACGCTGACACGGGCAGCAGGACCGCACCTTGCCCCAGGGACCCAAGCACCCAAAAGCCATGTCACGCTCATCTGAGCGAGGCTCTGGCTCCCCGGTTTCTATGTTCCTTTCAAAGATGGAATGTAAATTACCCAGGTGATTTGGAAACAAAATTGCACCCCAGAGCGAGGTGGCCAAAATTTGCTTCTCAAAAACAGAACTGATGAGGAGGAAATTTAGAACAAAAGGGGGAAAAAAAACCCAAAATAGTCCTTTATTCAGGAAAGTAAGTATTGGAGGCTCCAGCTTTTCAAGCATCTGGAACAGGACTGACCAAAAAGGAAATCGCTCCGCAACAGAATATAAAAATAAAACGTTTTGCACTGATGTAGAATAGATGAAGTGAACTAATAGGTTTCTCCCATCACTGTTTTCCAATATTTATAGCCTGCTTTTTATTATCATTTTTCCTTTAAGTAGTTTGCAAGTGATCATGCCAACATCTTATTTCGTTGATCTCAACAGGATATTCTTTAAAAGATGAATTTATTCACTTGGGAACACGCTAGTGTAATTAGCCTTGACATTTCAACAGCCTGATCATAAACACAGAGCGCTCTATGTGCTTTTAAGGCAAAAAAGATCTCTCAACCAACAGGGCAAAACATTCGAGATGTGAATTTTGCAGGAAACCCGTGGCTATTTTGTTAAACGCAGCCCTGACCATTGCAAGCATGAGTGCCAAAAACACAGAGTCAAAAAGACTGATGTATTGTTAACGGCACTTCTAATTTTAGACAGAGGGTTGGGGCTTTTTTGTTTTGGT